CTTATTTTATTATGTTTAGTTTTCCCCGGGTGGTCATGCAGCGATCACTCAAGAGTTCACGACGCCGAAGTACGAACTGGAACAGTCATCGCAGTTTATATCCGTACTAGCTGTTGCCAGCGGCTTCAAACGCGTGAACTCGAAAATTATCCCACAGGAACGAAATACCTGAATAAACGGTATCAAATGTGTTATTCCAGACTAGGTATAACCTATCTCTGAGCTAAATATCATCCAGATCCCTTCAGCTGTTCTGGCGTGATTGAGTAACATACATCTATCCATCGAAACTTTCGCATTTGTAATATTTAGATAATAATTGTAATTAGTTCTGCCTACCTATAAATTGTTTTCAAAAATAATTACCTGTCTTCTTACTTTTTTTTATATACACACAATATCACTAGATGTAAACACATGCTTTTATCAAGACAAGTGACCCGTCAGACTGTTTCCTTAGTACCGACGTACTTAGGCAGGTAGGTAGGCAGTTTACATTTTAGTGTCCACGACGCAGCGACAGTTTGTCAAATTTTGTTGTATAGTAGGTTATGGGTATTTAGGTAATAACAGTAGGTAGGTACCTATCCACCGAACCGTCAACGCCGCGCAAGTGATTCTCGTCCCACCTGTCCGCGCAGTAACTTTTTTTACGACCGCGCGAGACTGTCGCAACAAAAACGATTACTACTGAAAGACTAATATAGGTACCTACCTAACATTCAAATAAAAATATTCTCAAAAAGCTCAACGAATTCAGAATTTAATTTTGTTAAAAGAAAATTGGTCAATTAAAAAATAAAGGATGAAAATAAAGCATATGGGGATATAAAAATAAATCGTATTTATTTTTTATTTCGAGTTTTACAAGAAAAGTATAATATTTACTGGAGACAATTATTTTATTATTATAATAGTACATGATATTCCCTTTAAAATGACACCAATATGAATAATATCTTATATCTATATCTACAAATAAATAAAATTGAAGTGTCTGTTTGTAATGTTAAAAACTACTTGCAAGTACTAGTAACAAAAACACAATTTTTAAAATTTTTATCTGTCTGTCGAGTCTGTCTGTCTGTCTGTTTGTTCCAGCTAATCTCCGAAACAGCTGGATCTATTTTGACAGGACTTTTACTGGCAGATAGCTGATGATATGAGGAATAACTTGAACTACTTTTGTTTTAGAAAAAAAGAATTAGGGTTCCGCGCAAAAAAAATTAAAACCCATGAAATCCATATTCCACGCGGGCGAGATCGCGGGGAACAACTAGTACTCAATATAGATAAATGTATACTTATTTTTATTTATTTATTATTTTAATAAATAAATAAAAGTAAGTATTAATAATTTCTAGACACATCTCAACAGATATTTCGTTAATAAATTGCTATCAATACTGAAGCATTCTTTTATATTTAGCATCCATTTAACACAAAAAACTGATAAGAATACTTTTTAAACAACATATAATCAATAAACGATAATCGCGTATAGTGAATTTCGAGGTAAATTATTATATGTAAACGTTTTTGAATCGTCGTAATGATACATATTTTCAAAAGAAAATATCTTAACAATTAATTTGATATAAAATAACATTAGAAATAACGTATAAAAACGGAGAAATTATCAAATTTTTGATCGAGTTCCTAACCAGTACACAAACAAAAATGGCGAATAGTCATTTTCACATTTTTTTAGAAATAACGTATAAAAAAAGAAAAATTATCAAATTTTTGATCGAGTTCCTAACCAGTACACAAACAAAAATGGCGAAATGTCATTTTCACATTTTTTTTCTATATAGTTATTTGTTTCAGAGTACACAGATAAAATTCACTCTCATAGATGACAAATTTTAAACACCACAATCTCTAATTTTTTACTCTGCTATCTTCAGCGCTGTACACGAACGGAACGATGTAGTTGAGAGCTGTGGTTGCTCACATGGTTAGCGCTCGTTATAAGTATCACAGTACGGGAGCAACCCGGGTTCGATCCCCACTGGCACCAATGAAATTGTTGCGTGCTGATTTAAAAGCCGTTTTGTTTTGTTACACTGACATCTCGCAAGTCACCTAGGAACCTAGGAGGTTGTCGGTTGCTTATTTTTTTTTCTTTAAAATTTTCGTCGGTAAAATAATATACTTATAAAAGTAAAAAAAAAGTAAAGTTACAGCCTATATACGTCCCACTGCTGGGCACAGGCCTCCTCTAATTTCTGAGAGGGTTTTAAGGCAAGGAAATGTCCGCCACGCTGCCTCAATGCGTGTTGACGAACTTCACATGTCTTCGAAATATATATTTTTTAATTTCTCAGACATGCAGACCCGAGTTCGATCCCCGCTGGCACCAATGAAATTGTTAATTGCAATTGTGTTGATTTACCACGTACTCGGCGGTGAAAGAAAACATATTGAGGAAACCTGCACATCTGAGAATATAATTATAATCGAATGTAAATCAAATTGACATAGGTAAGTACATAAAAATTAGCGGAACATTAATAAAATTTTGAGATCTTTTTTTTCAAAATTTTATTTATATTCCGCTATTTTTGTCTGTGCTTATATCAATTTGATTTACATTCGATCTCTAAATTGTAATTTAATAATTGAAAAGAATTGAACAGAAACGACGTTAGACAATGCAACCCTTCAAGCCACACCTCCGTGCCCGTCGGAGTGGGGAGCGTGAGGTTTTTTCGTTACGGCGGATAAAATTTCTGGATTCGGTCCCTACGCTCAAGGCCCGCGATAGAAGCTATGCAATAGCTTAAAAGAAATTTGCCTAAATTGAATAAATTTAATTGGCGCGATATAAAGATAAAACTGGTCCCTCATTCCATACGTCTCGTCGTATATAAGTGGGAGTCAATGCTTCTTTGTCTGTCTGATCTCAACTACGATCAGAAATCAACAAGTGAATGACGTCAGGATCATAAGTGATTAAAATATTAATTAAAATATTAATTAAAATCATCATCATCATCATCATTACAGCCCTTCACAAGTCCACTGCTGAACAGAAGCATTCTTTGGGGAAAGCCCCAAGGAATGCCAGAAAGCACGGTCCTGAGCCACCAGCATCCACCAACTTCCTGCATGTCTTACCAGGTCGTCACTCCATCTAGTTGGGAGGTCACCCTACACTACGCCTACCGGTATGAGGCTGCCACTCGAGAAATTTTTTCCCCATCGGTTGTCGGTTCTTCGAGCTATATGGCCGGCCCATTGCCACTTCAGCTCACTAATTCGTTGGGCTATGTCGGCCACTCTGGTTCTACTGCGGATATCCTTATTTCTTAGTTTATCTCGCAGAGAAACCCCGAGCATAGCCCTCTCCATAGCTCACTGAGCGACTCTGAGCGTCCTCATACTGCCAACAGTGAAGGACCATGTCTTAGTTCTATATGTGTGTGATGCCAGTAATGACACTGGCAACACGCACTGGTTGTACAATTTCGTTTTCAGGTTTTGAGGTATACCTAACGAGAAGATGTAATGTAATTTCCCCAACACTGCCCAGCCGAGTTGAATCCGTCGATTGACCTCTCGGTCGAAGTTGGACTTACCTATTACCTAGGCGGACTATTTGTCCCAGGTAAACGTACTCGTCACTCGTCAACAACTTCGAGCTTAGTGCTCCCAACAACTACCGGCATAGGTGTGACATGGACATTAAACATGATCTTTGTTTTGTCCATGTTCATCTTAAGACCTATCCGTTGGAAGACACTATTGATACACCATTGAGCATAGTGCTTAGGTTCTCCAGCGATTCTGCCATAAGGACTATATCGTTGGCAAATCAAGGGTGAGTGATGCACTTGCCAGTAGTTACGTTGTACCAGTTCTGGCGCACTTGTAGAAAGGTTGTACCAGTTCTGGCGCACGACGTTCGTCGACTCACAATCCTAAAAAAAAGGTTTTGGCATGCTCTGATCACGAATCTGCGGTCCATTTTTGCGTAGGATGCACGGTTCCGGAGATGTTCAGATCAATTAACTCTTATCTAATTGATATCCGCTGCGAGCCTCAACCGTCATTAGCGCTCCATTGTCCTTATCTACTAATATATTGTTGATTGACTACCGTCATTATCTATTATTCGTCAGCGTGTGGATCGGCTTATGCTATTGTATTATACTCCTTTGTTCCTATCTACAACACTAATCTGAATCATCAATAAAACACATTACCTAATTTTGTTAAAATTTTTATTTATAAAATACAAAATCTTATTACTTATTATCTATAAAATAGGAGCGAAACATCTCATCCACTAAAATATCGTTGTACAATGTGTTCTCTGTAAATATACTCGTAAAACTATGCATTGAACATCCCTGAAACTTATATAGCAAATACATTAAGCAATATTCGCCACAAACTGAAGTCCACTCATTCTGAATCCTATCAACATTCCAGTTCCATCTTTTACAATTTCTTTTAAAAAACTCTAGATGATATCGTACAGGTGCCCGTCCGAATGAATCAAAATATTGACCGACGTCATTCGTATCGATATATAAAGCTACCCAATGTGACCCTGGTTTATCATCTGTGTCCAAATTGCATATTATATACGTTGGTACGTGGGTGTACATGGGTAGTTTATTGGCAGCATAAACATTATTTTCTAGAGTGGGGTGAATCTTTTTCAGATGTTGTTGTACATCTAGTGTATCCATAATATTACTGCTATTAGTAGATTATTACAGTACCAATCTACTCAATGACTAATATAGGAATGATCAATTATAGTGATATCTAAATATTAAATTGCTTTCTTTGTGTTATACAAAACGTATTTGAGTCACCAATACACTGAACAAGACACGACAGGAAGGACGTAGGAATGTAGACATAAGCAACAGAATGTAAGGTAAGCTTGTTGACGCATAAAGATACTATCAATTCTACTGCAGAAATTCTTTAGATTAGAATTATTACTCACTGGTACTATATAAGACCAAGCAACTGCAGTCATGGAGTTAGTGTATGGTCGTTTGACCGCAGTGGATCTATCAATACTACGTTTGTGTTACTTCAACGCATCAAAGGCCATGGATGTAAGTGTTTATTCTATTGACAAACTTACTTTTCTTTCTGTTATTTTCTTACGTGTGTATGATTTAGTGTTAACAAATTATATTTAAATATTATGTGTGTGTATATGGTTAAGCCGTGGTAGCTCAGATGGTTAGCGCAAAATGTAAACTTCATAGTACACGTCCCGGGTTCGATCCCCGCCGGCACCAATTAAATTGTTAATTACAATTTTAAGTGCTGATTTACTGAATGCATGTCTGAGAAAATTTCGAAGGCATGTGAAGTATGCCAACACGCATTGAGGTATCGCAGCGAACATTTCCTAGCCCTAAAACCCTCTCAGAAATGAGAGGAGGCCTATGTTCAGCAGTGGACTTTAATAGGTTGTAACTTTAGCTTTTTTAACTTTTATGATTAAGTGTTAACAAATTGATATTAACATGATAACTGTGTTGTTGCAGAAATCATTGAGCTTCGATGAAAATACCTATAAACAGTATTACTACTCGCCACTCTCCCCTCAAGAAGAGAGTGATGACATCGTCATTAATAATAACACATGCGATGGTGGAAAAAGAAAATCGCAATCGATTGATCATTTTTTTGAAGCTGAATCAAAAATAAAAAAGAGGAAGCTGTTATCATCAACCGTAGCACGAGCCGCTAGAGATGGTGTATCGTATATTTCTACTAATTCTGACGACGGAGACCAAGCGACGCATCTCATCAAAATTGAAATGTACGATATGAAGAAGCTATCCAAGATTCCAACTACTGATCATTGGAAACATGCTTCCACGAGGATTACATATTACGTAAAGACTAATAAGGATAGCATCTACGACAACACAAACGCCCTCGTATACAATATTACAAAGACAATAGCAGAAAGTGAAAAAGTTAAAAAATACTTTTTTAACAATGACAGTCATTAGCTGATCATTAGTGAATGTGATTCTGTTTACTTAAATTACAGGAAGACAAGAGCAGAAGAAAGAGATGAGTGTGGCATACGTGTACAGAACACATCATTGAAGAACAAAACTACAACACTGAGTGGAGATGAAAACGAGAATATGCAGTACTCAAGAGCTGAATATCCATTCTTCAGTTCAAAATCTAGCCGGTTGCTCAGTTTCGAAAACTGGCCTCTCGTTATGCGACAGAAACCTGAAGATCTTGCAGAAGCCGGTTTCTTTTATACTGGCCATGCAGACAGGACCAAGTGTTTCCATTGTGGTGGTGGCTTAAAAGATTGGGAAGATGATGATGATCCTTGGCAGCAGCATGTTCAGTGGTTTAGTCAGTGTGCTTATGTAAAATTTAAACTCGAACAGAGTTTTGTATTAGATTAAATAGAATATTTATAAAGAAATAAAAAATAATATATTGCATACAATTTGTTTTATTTAATTTTATAATGTTTCACATAGTTACATACACACAAAATGCATTACACATAACTCATAAAATCTAACACACAACACATATTATAACCTTAACCACTATAGTCTACAGTAACATTTCTGTTTTTATCTATCTCAATAATATTATAAAACTCAGCATAAACTATACAGTTAATTGTTTGTATTAGTGAGGATTCAAATCGTACTTCTAATCTTACACTACCATGCTTTATGAGATTCCAATGAGCTGATGAGTTGGCTGATAAATCAGGAGTTAAGTCAAATGCTAATAGATAGTAACCTTTGGCATACTGTTCACAAGAGATTCCATTTCCTTCATTAAGAAAGTGAATACCAGTTCCCGAGAATAGAGTATGATATGCTGATGTAAATATGCTATTATTAAAAGATGGTTGCAAAGCTTTTGAAGGTATTTGTTGACCATCAATATATAAGCTGAAAGAATTAATACCATAGTTTTCAAAGTTAAATGAATTTTTAGTAAGGGAACCATTAAATGCAGAATTGTTCACAAATCCAATTATACATTTTTTGGGTACCTGCCGTAAAAATATATTATCCAGAGATTTTCCTTGAACACCCGATGGAATTGTTAAAACTTTTACTTCAGCTCGAGTAATAGGATATTTAGCAATGGTAGAAGCTAAAACTTTTTGATGTGCGAGTAATACGTTGGATTAATTCGTGCTCGTCGAACAATAAGAGTTGCGTCTGTAATGCAAACTTTAAACATTACATCGTTTGACCCAGCAATTAAATTAAAGCTCTCTCTCGATCAAACCAATTTAACACTCATTTCAACACCATTAATTAAAAATTTATCTTGGTTGAAAATGTCACCGTGAAGATGACCAATCATTTCTATTTCATTACTTTCACTAATCAATTCCTGTCTTTTAACAAATCCTATGTTTTTACCATCCGTAGAATCCATTTTTCCTGCTGTATCATCATACCAAAGACTACAAGTAAGATGAGATTGTTTAGCAGCAGGAGCATAGTTTAAAAGGGTTTCCATGTATGCTCGATATGCATAGGTATTATTAGGTGGTGATACAAGTTTTTGGTTTAAATAAACATCAAGTTGACTAAAAAGTGAATGCAGCCAATTATTTACAGGTGCTAATATTGTAGTAGATATCAAGTTAGTTGAATCTTGATTTAATACTTTTGCCTTTATGTGGAGTAATGTATGAGACAAATCTATATAGTCATCGCCTGTCCCAGGAACTTGAAACTCGATAGGTCCATCATCACCAAGAGATGAAATTGGTTTATAATGAATCCACAATCCATTTTCAATGCTAGTTTGTGTAGACGGTAGTGCAAATCCAATTCTGACTTAACGCACTCGCAAGAATGATTATGAAGGAAAGACATATTTAATTTGAAAATATATCTTTGTTATTTTTTGGCTTTAGACCAAGTTTTTTCGCAGCTTTCACTTTAGCAGTTAATGGTGGAATGAACGAGGTCAATCGTTTTCTTTTAGTTTTATACCCAGATCCTGTCATGTTAAATTGATCAATTTTCTCATCAGCCTTTCGTTTTAAATTCGTACTAACTTGCTTTAGACGATCTTTTATTGAGGCTTCCATAGGACGCGCTTGAACCATATCCGATAAAAGTCCTACTCCAGCGCTTAATGCCTCCTTACCAATCACTCGAGCACCACTTGAAAGTAAAGGTAAAACTGATCTAAATAACCCCCCTAAGAAGCTCCCAATACCATGACCGCGTTGGTATGGTGCACCCTTATAAATTACTCCAACTCCTGACCCAGCTTGATGTGTATAATAATTTTCATATGGACATTTATGATGATCACGAAGAGAATTCATTATTATAATTTTCGGAAATGTAGTTTAATACACACGGTTCCAAACTGGAATGGTATTTTTTGTCCTGTGCTCGATCTTACAACTGTTTCCAGCGTATGGGGTTGTTGTTATGGTGAGGTTGAGAGAAAACGTGCATTTTATTTGCACCATAAATGTATTTTGTAGGATCTAATGAAATGACTCTTAGTAAAGGAGTCATAACATCACCCACAATCTGAGGATCGATAATGTCGCAATATATAAAGAGTTGAGATGGTAACCCTAAGTGTAAATTAGCAGGACACTTTCCAAAACTTCTCTCTAGGAGATTTTTATTTGGTTCATAACCTAGTTGTAAACTTAATTTGGGTGATAATGTTACGGAAGTTATATTTTTATCCAAAACAGAAATAGACACAAATTTTGTTATTTCATCATAGCGAAATTTCAAGTTCTCTCCGATACCATCTAACACTCCTAAAATATGCTCAACGTTATAATAGTTGGTAGCTGGAATATGTTTTTTGTAGTACACTGTGGATGGTTTATCTTCATTAGGCATTAACATAGATTTTGTAATGTATATAACATTTTCATGATCTTGAACAGTAAACATGGTACATGGATATTGAAACTCGACAACTCCAACCGACCATTCACCTTCTAATTTAATAGCTTTCGGTAATTTCGTTGAAAAATTTGTGGTCTTGTTATCAGGAAAGTATTCCATTGAACTATTGCTGAGCAAAGTTAAATAAAAACTTTCTTTATTCATATTTCTTTTAAACTAGAAGCTAAAATCCAACTGTTAAATTTATCTGGATAACCTTTCCACTTCACTAATACTTCTTTTCTGTTACCTGAGTAACGAGTGTCAATTATTTTATCTATTTTATATTGTGAGGTGGGGTTGTAAGTGATTTTCTGTAATTCTCTTTCATAAAAGGTACCAACTATTGGTTCATTTTGTAAATCTGTTATTGTATAAACAACCCATGGAGATCTATCAATTATTGAAGATATAATAAATATTTCATCACTCCAATTTGATTCATATCCTTTTTGGAAAGCATGTTTATATTTAGTTATTCGAACATAATCACCCACATTGAAATTTGGTTTAGGATTTTCTAAAGAAAGTTTGTTTGACCGTCTTTCATAAAGATTAGTCCAAACTGTCATAATATTGTTGGAATTTACATCACATGGGCACATCTTAATACTAGAGTGAAAGCTGTGATTGTAAGAGTATATTAAATCTTGTAAAACGTCTATATATCTATAAGTATTATTATGAGTGAAATAACGCCACATTTTCATTTTTAGTGTTCTTTGAAATCGTTCAACAATTTCAAAGAACACTAACGGCCTTAATGTCAGGATTGTTAGTGGTATAGTAATTAATCTTTTTTGGATTTAAAGTATTTTTTGTACATCTTTTGAAACAAATTCTGTACCTTTATCAGATTGTATGTGAGTAGGTGTTAAATTACTTTCAGTAAATATACTTTCAAAACATTCTTTAGTTGTTTCTGAGTTTTCTTTTTCATTGGTCTTGCAAAAGCATATTTACTAAATACATCAATAACACAAAGTATATACTTGAAACCATCATTATATTGAGAATAAGTTCGCATATCACTTAAATCAGCTTGCCACAGTTCATTAATATTTGATAGAATGTACCTATTACGCGGGAATTTTTTTTGAATGGGTTTATGTAATGTGTATGTTTCTTGTGATTTTAACCATTCCTTTACTTGCTTTTTATTCATTTTACCCTTCATGGCTTTTGATAATTTATCAATACTACCAAAACCAGCGGGATTAGATGGATCATAATAAATCCTGTTAATTTCTTCTAGTACGGGGTCCATTTTTCCCACTCAAGCCTTTTACGTATTTTAGTTGTAGACTTTTTATCTCTACTGCTCGGTGTAGAAAACTCTTGAAATTCAATCTCAGAGGTTTGTTCAGATCTTTTGCTTGAAGTTGGTTAATAAACTCACATCTCTTTGGATTTCCAATATAAGTAAGTGGTACTTTAATATCTTTTAATGCTTCAGCAAATCTATCCCACCCTACTGGATCACTTCTTTTTAAGGGTCTTAGTGAATCATTTATTAAATCAACAATATTACTTCCAGGAATTTTTTTATTATCAATTATGACTGTACCTTCATTATCCCAATGTATTTTACCTTTACTTGTTTCAACTAAGTTTAATAATAACTGTCCTTTTTTATTATAAGTTTTTGGTATTAAACTGAGTATTTGAGCTGGTGTGTAAAGTGGATTTTCAACATTTTCTTTACTTTTGATGGATCGATTCTCCTCCAACAAAGATTCAGCATCAACTGAAGTTTTTAGATCTCTATCTTTATTTTTAAAACCAATTTTAGACTCGTTTGAATCTTCATTAGATGTATCAGAATAAATTGGTAATCTGAGTGGTTGACGATCCTCTTCGGTAAAATGAAGGTATCTTTGCAGTGTTTGTAAATATAACATCCATTTCTTTCGGTCTTCCATCTTACTATTCATAATATTTTGCATTTCAATATCTAATCGAGATAAACTACTACTCGTATTAACCTTATTTTCTTGTTTTAATTTTCAATCAATCCAGGTTCGATAAGTATCATTTTCTTTGCATTTTCCATGTTAACTGGCTAGTCCACTCACTAATCCACTCAATATTGCACCTAATATTATTGGTAAGAAAGCCCCTCCTTTTTTGTATAATTATATTTTTTCTTAGTTTATGTTTACACTTACGCACTAGTTGACGGAGTATATTTTTGTGTTTATTCAATTTTTGTTTATCTTGATCTTTAAGAGGTACTTTTCCTTGTAAAACGTTATGAATACACTCACAAATACAGTTAATTTCTTCTTCATCACACGTTTTAAGTAATGCTTTTTGATATTTTGGTTTAAGCGTATGCAAAGCGTTTAGCAAATGTTTATGCGTTGTGAGTCGACGATGCATCATTTAGCAATGATTTGAAATGTTTGATTCTTGGTGTATTTAAACTCTTTTGTGGGGACGTAGACTGTGCAGAAACCATTAAATGGGAAGACATTTGTCTTGATACGACAAAAATC